ATCCTGGCTAACACGGTGAAACCCCGTCTCTACTAAAAATACAAAAAAAATTAGCCGGGCGTGGTGGCGGGCGCCTGTAGTCCCAGCTACTCGGGTGGCTGAGGCAGGAGAATGGCGTGAACCCGGGAGGCGGAGCTTGCAGTGAGCTGAGATCCGGCCACTGCACTCCAGCCTGGGTGACAGAGCTAGATGTGGGCATAATGTGGCAAATAATTAAAAGCAGCCATGATAAAAAGGTTTCAACAAGCAATTACAAACACATGTGAAATAAATGAAAAAATAGAAAGCCTAAGACAAGAAAAGGAAGAGAAAAGAAACCAAATAGAATTTAGAACTGAAAAATACAATAACCAAAATAAAAACTCAGTGAATGGAAATAGCAGTAGAATGGAGGAAAAAGGTCAAAGAATCAGTGATGGAAAAGATAGAAGTTACTCAATGTGAATAACACAGAAGAAATACACGCCCCCGGTGGCTCACAGCTGTAATCCCAGCACTTTGGGAGGCTAAGGTAGGCGGATCACAAGGTCAGGAGTTTGAAACTAGCCTGGCCAACATGGTGAAACCCGATCTCTATTAAAAATACAAAAATGAGCTGGGCATGGTGGCAGGCACCTGTAATCTCAGCTACTCGAGAGGCTGAGACAGGAGAATCGTTCGAACTCGGGGGGAGGCGGTTGCAGTGAGCTGAGATCGTGCCATTGCACTCCAGCCTGGGAAATAGGGAGCGACTCCGTCTCAAAAAAAAAAAAAAAAAGAAAGAAAGAAAGAAATATATGTCCCCACAAAAAACAAAAACAAAAACAAAAAAAAACAGTCTCGGAGACCTATGGGACTATAACAACTCTGGTCACTGAACTCAGGAAGGGACAGGAGAAAGAAGGCGGGGTTGAAACTGTACTCTAAGAAGTGATGGCTTAGAAGTTCCCAAATTTGGCAAAAGACATAAATCTACAGATCTAAAGTAAGCAAACCCTAAACAGGATGAACCCAAAGAAATCCAATCTAAGACATATCATAATCAAACTCCAAAAAACAGAAGACAAAACATTTCAAAAGCCACTAAAGAAAAACAGTACCTTAGCTATTGTGGATTAACAAGTCAAATGACAGCGAATTTCTCATCAGATACCATGGAGGCCAGCTGAAAGTATAAAATATTTTTCAAATGATGAGAAGAACCATTACCACAGAATTCTTATATCCAGGAAAAATGTCCTTCAGAAATGAAAAAGAAAGCAAAACATTCTCAGAGGAAGTAAAATAGAATTTGTCACCAGAAGACACACACGAAAAGAAAGGCTAATGGAAGTTCTTTAAGCAGAATGGCAACCATCAAACAAGAAAACCCTGGAACTTCCAGAAAGAAGAGCATGACACGCACACCTACGCATAAATACAGTAGACTCTTTCCTCACCTCTTGACTTTGCTAAATTATGTCTGAGGGTTCAACCAAAAATTATAACACTGTCATATGTGCTTATCAATGTAAGCAAATGAAATACTTAAGGCAAATATATTATGAAAAGAAGAACATAAAGGAACATAAAGGAAGGTAGTTTCTATATCCCAGAAGCTGGTAAATGACAACACTAGGTACAATCTGATAAGTGTTCATACACACACAGGTTGAGTGTCCCTTACATAACGCTCAGGAGCCCAAGTGTTCCACATTCAGATTTTTATCAGATTTAGGAATATTTGCATGTAAATAATGAGATATTTTGGGGATAGGACCCAAGTCTAAATACATTCATTTATGTTTTATATATACCTTATACACAGAGCCTGAAGGTAATTTTATATAGAATGCTTAATATGTGTATACCTTATACACAGAGCCTGAAGGTAATTTTATATAGAATGCTTAATAATTTTTTGTATGAAACAAAGTTCATGATAAGTACTTATGAATGGAATTTTCAACTTGGGGGCATCACGCTGGGGTGCCAAAAAGTTTCAAATTTTGGGGCATTTCAGATTTTGGATTTAGGGTTCAGAGATGCTTAATCTGCATGTAATATATCACCTAGAAAAGTCACTAAAAAAGCTATACAAAAAGATACACTCCAAAACACTATAGATAAAATAGAATGCTAAAAATGGTCAAGTAAACCACAGAGAGCCAGGAAGAACCGAACCAAAAAAATGAAAAACAGAAGAAACAGAAA